TCCAACCTTTTTTGCTCAAGTTGTCTTTGGTGTTGAGTTTCCTTTTCGAAATGATCCAGAGGAGAATTTTTACCTTGAGAGGGATGCTGGATTTCCAGATCAAATTTGAGAACTGGGATTTTAGCCCCCCTGAAGAAATGAACGAATAAAAGGATTTAACTGTATAGACTCCCGAAGAATGAAGAGGCCACCAAATAGCATCCTGCTCTGATGAGCCACCAGGAAAATGGTGCTCAAGGAATGCTTGAAGATCGGAAACATCTGCTCTCTCTCTGGGGGAGGATCCCCTACGGATAATTGGGTGCCAGACCCATGATCCATTGGCCCATCTTCCTTGCTTGTCAAGGCTGCAGTTGCTCGAGAAGGCAAGATTGTGAGCATAGGGGAATAGACTGCTAAGAGAGTTAGCAGATGCCCATTTGTCATGCCAGAATCTAATCGAGGCACCATTCCCCACTTTCCATCTGACCAAGCTAAAGAAAATGTGATGAGATGCAAGCAGATCCTGGAAAAGTCTTGAGTGTGATATCTTCGGCTGATTGGCAAAAGGGTTAGCTCCATGTTTGGAATATATGGAGAAGAAAACTTCACTAATTAAGGATGATCTGTCAGAAATTTTCCAAATCCATTTGGAGAGGAGGGCAGAGTTAAAGGTGGGGATATCAATTACCCCAAGTCCTCCTTCCACTTTGGATTTGCATACTGTTCCCCAGTTAACTAGGCATTTTGGTCTTGAGAGGCTGTGGCTACCATTCCAAAGGAAATTTCTTCTGATTTTATCAATGGATTTAGAAACCCAAATTGGCAACTTGAAAAAAGAAACTCACTATGGACTATATATAACGAATTAAATTAATCCTAAGATAAAATAAGTCCCCAATCCAAACATGGCCATAGTATACAATTTATTAATTTATTAGTAAAATTGCATACGTACTCCCATGAAATAAATTTCTGAATCCGTTCCTGATCAGAATCATGCTTCGAGTCTCCCTGGTGCCGAATCTTATCTTATAAGAACTTGCATTAATTTCATAAAAGAGTTTTTTTTTTCCCTCACATATATACTTTTGTTCTCTGTTACACTACTACATCATGGACTAGTTGTTAAATTCCACATATGCCACGGTACACAGTTGAGCTAGCTTTCACATTTTCTTCTTAATCTTCTCCAAGTACTGGTAATTCCTCTGATACTGCACAACACCCCAAACCAAATGCCTCAACGATATCTCCGGCCAAAGACACCGCGGGCAATACAACAAACAATGCGTCGTCTGCCATAAAAGGAAATTGCTCAGCCGAGTCTCTCCTGAAGTCCTCACCAAAATATCCGGATCCGGACACCCTGCGTAATACATGTTCTTCTCCAAATCCTCCACCGATATCGATGCATCGCCATCAATTTTCTCAGTCACCGCCCCCTTAACTCCGTGAACGATCTCATCTGTCGAAGTATACGCCAAACAAATCAACAGCACCATCTTTGTATTCTTCGCCGTTGCATCCATGACTCCCTGTATCGCTTCCCTTGTTGGCTCATCCAGCGTGTCCAACTTCCCTAGTGTTGAAATAAAAGAAAGAGAAAAGAGTTCGTTAATTGGTTATGAACAACATGAATACACCTCACATTGTATATACGGGTTATGGAATATCAATAAAAGGAAAACTATAATGTTCCCTTTCAAGCTTAACAAGGGTAGAGGTTAGTAAAGCTCATCGATCTTGTCCGGAAATTAAAGACAACAATCTACTGCTCGCGTACCTCATTCATATCAGCATGCAAGTGAGATTGAAATGAACCTGATCATATGAAAAAGTAGTAGAGGCAAAAACAAATCCAAGAACAAGAAGTTTTACGAATGATCGAGTAGGGCTGGAATTGAATTACCCGAATATGTATCGGATACTGAGACATTTGTAGTTGCATTCGTTTAACGTTTTTGGATTCGAATATGAATTCGAATATCATTCTCTGATTTTCTTCGAATTCGAATTCGAATACCGATATTTGCTGAATATTCACGAATGCTTATCAAATATTTACGTATTCCTTTTGATGAGTTTGAGCTTGGCGGATAGAGACAGAGGGTTTTCCCCCTTAGGAAGGAAGGATAACCAACTAGATTCTATAAAGGATAGGAAGGAGGGGACTGTTAGCCACATTTTCTCAAATCTGAAAAGAGGGGGAACAACAGGAGCATTTGTGTCCAACATGACTGGACAGTGATCTGAACATTGAGCAGGAAAAGCAAACTGAACCATAAGAGGGAAATTAGCTTCAAAATCCAGAGAGACAAAGAATCTATCGAGTCTAGCTAGGGATGGAGGGGATCTATGATTAGACCAGGTAAATTTCCTGCCACTGAGAGGGAGATCAATAAGATGAACCGAATCGATGAGCCTCTGGAAGATTTTAATATCTCTGAAGGAGCTGGAACGACCACTTCTTTCTTCAGAGCTCAAGGTCATATTAAAATCCCCAAACAAAACCCATGGGAGAGAATGAGAACTTCTAATCCTCTTGATTTCCCACCAACAAACTTCCCTATCGGCTGGATCACAAGGGACATAAATAGAAGTAACAACAAAACTCCAGTTGGAAGGCTTATGAGTAAGGGTGGCCGAGACTGAGAAAATGTCTGATGATGAGGAGGAGCAAGAAAAGATGTCCTCATTCCACCCAAGAAGAACACCCCCCCTCGAATCTGATGCATCTAGAGATATCCAAGATGTAATGGAGTTTCCCCCCAAGGATTTGAGGAAAGAGGGGCTAGGAGATGATTTCCCAGTCTCGGCCACCCTTACTGGAGAAGGAAGAAGAACATTGCGATTAAAAAAAAAATTCATTTGCGGTCGACCTGGTTGAAACAGATTCCTAAACAGACCAGGAATCTATCTGGGCGATTCGCGGTCGACCGCCGTGCCAAGGCCGGTCGACCGGCCAGAGAAAAAACTGTTTACAGGGTCCTGTGCACATTTGCGGTCGACCGCAGCGGCCACGCCGGTCGACCGACCAGAGCGAAAACTTCTTCTTAGTCTCCTGCAGTGCACGCGGTCGACCGGATCTGCCACTGCGGTCGACCGCACAGTCTTCTGACTGTTTTCTTCGTCTTTTCGATTGCAGCTTCGGGTCTACACACTTAGACTAACAGAAATCTCCGTCAGCAGCAGAAACGAATCTTTCAATTGCAGAGCCTAATTCTATAGAGGGAGCCCTTTTGAATGAGTCCCCGTGAAGAAGCATACATTACTCAGAAGGCCCAATGGAAAAATGAGCTATTACTATAATGAATATAAATGGGCCCTCATTGTCTTGGCATCCCTGCTTCAAAACTACAGACCAAACTACTTGGACAAATTTTTAAAATCAACCCTTTTAAACATTTATTTACAAATTTTCGACCCAATCGTAACTCAATTAGCAATTTCGACCTAGTTTCATGAAACTAGGTCGAAATTGCTAATTAAAACTTCGAGGGATTGTCAATTCGAAACTAGGTCGAAATTGCTAATTAAAACTTCGAGGGATTGTCAATTCCGTGAAGTTTTCTATATTTACACTTCACGGGATTGCCAATCCCGTGAAGTTTTATTCACCAACTTCGATCTGGTTTCATGAAACTAGATCGAAAATGGTAATTAAGTTAGAACTGAATCAAAAAATTGCAAATAAATATTTAGAAGGCTCTATTTTCAAAATTCCTCCAAGACTACCTTAGTGTATTTGGTGTTGGGAATCTTAGCTGTTTAGACAATAACGAAAATCAGTTTAAGCAATTTGATAATTAACAGATAATTACTATTATAACGCAGATATAAGAAATATATCAAATGAAAAGTAAATAGAGGTTAGAAATACGGCCTGATGGTCGAGGCGTGCAAGCACTGTCCCAAGAAACTAATTGCCCCCTCTCGTACAGGGCTACGCGGCAAAAGCTCCCGGAGATACAACGACCCTCGGTCAGGCGACCTCCTTCTCGTCGGCACGAGCTTCAAGAAGGCTTTGCGAATTCTTCGTAAACTTTCAGGGAACCAGTAAATTGTAACAGTAAGTATTTTGAAAGAGAAGAACAGAGAAGGTGAAGAAGAGGTTGTTGCTTTTTCGCTATGTTAAACTCTGCGGATTTTAGATCCTTTTATAGGGAAAAACAGCCGTTACTTATAAACCCCGTAATTAACACGGTTTTAATCACGTTAATAAAACTTAGCCGTTATCAAAACATTTCCGTTACATAATTAATTCGCAAAATGTTTATCACGTTTTTAATCACACTAATAAATATTTTCCGTTACAAAATATTTCGGTTACAAAATATTTATCACATGTTAATTGTTCAAAAATAAAAATTATATTTTAATTATTTAAAAATAAAAATGTAGCAGATTAAGGGCCCATTAATCCGGAGCTGCATTCGTGTCCGCAGGTCGTGTGCGCGCGCCACCCGACCCGACCCGAACCCGAGCCCGAGCCCGGCCCAGCCGGCGCGCGCGTGTGTGGTGTGGAGCATAACCTTTGTTTCTTGTATTAATACTATGGTGTTGTTTGCGCTATGTAGCTGAAAAGATTATTAGGGAAATAAATGGTGTTTCATACTGGTGCCCTTATTAGTGGGCTGCCGTATCTATTTATATATGATTTGTTGGAGATCAAATATCACGTGATAGTATATTCTTATCCATGTAGATTTGATCCATTAAGTGAAACTCTACCTGTAAATAGGGATGGAGGTTGCTATCTCTAACACACCACTTCGCATACTCAAATTGGCAACAGCTACAAATCGGAGTACCGATCAAAGTTTTTCGGTGAAGATACTATTTTGATTGTGTCTGGGTTCAAGATAAACTGACAACTCCATGAAAAGGCCAATAAGATGTATTTTATATGCCCAGTCAGAAAGTTTGATCAAGATAAACTGATAACTCCACGAACATGACGATAAAATGTATTTTATATGATCATTTTCCATCATTCTCTACAAAATAGTTTAAGTAGATTACAAACAAACTAGATACAGATTGATGAATAAATTCACTGAAACGTTCGGTAAGTATTCTTTCTATATATCAGTATTTAGGTAACATTAAACACATACCTGAAGAGAAAGCATACAGGTAACTTGGCAGACACCTTGAATATGGAGTTTGAGTCACATCAGTTCACTTGCTAAAGATTTGCAACCTACACCAGAAATGCAACTATCAGTTGAGTAAAAGTAAACAAGCATTGATAAAACTAAAAAATATTATGGGACATCAATTAGTCTTAAAGTTTGTAAATATGCTGATCTAGATCACAACCACATAGACAATTCAAGTAACAGAATAACTATAAAGAATATAATCAAGAAATTTTCAGGAAAACGAAGCAAAGACTAACCTAAACAATGAAATGAGATTTAGGAATGTAAATAAATCTTCAGGATCAAATTTATCGCGCACTTGTTGCGGTTGTAGCTTCTGTTAGGAATCCACAAAAAAAACTCTGATGGTTTCTTCGCTTTCTGGATACCCAAGTGGAGAAAGTGTTAGAAACATTCTGAATATATATATATGCGTACTTGTGGACATGTATATGCTTGTATATTTGTTCTCAAGGATTGCATACTGAGGAGTATATATAAGGTTACAGTCTTATAGAAAATAAATAATAGTATGTTAATATGCATAGTATACACAATATGCGTACTTGTGGACATGTATATGCTCGTATATTTGTTCTCAAGAATTGCATACTGAGGAGTATATATAAGGTTATAGTCTTATAGAAAATAAAGAATAGTATGTTAATATGCATAGTATACACAATATGCGTACTTGTGGACATGTATATGCTTGTATATTTGTTCTCAAGAATTGCATACTGAGGAAGCTAGAATGCAAATTTAACAGACAATTTAGTTTGATACAGTCGTGTACTTAAACTTATAACACAACTACAAAGGTTGAGAATAGTTGAGAAGGCATGGTCCACGAAATCAGCAAAAATGATAGATTTCATTAGTTAATTATGTAATAAACGTCATGAAGCATAACTGATCTTGAGACTAAATATCAAGCTGAAACTAGATGCTTTGAGTTCAAGATTATTACACCCCAGAAATTACCAAAAGGCCCACTAAGAGCGGACGCATGATAACTAACTAGCCGACTCCCAAAGCATCTGCAAGCAAGCTAGGTGATAAGCCAGCCGACTTGCCTCGCGATCTAGATCCGAGGCGAAAGCCACTTCCTGCTCGGATCCTGCTAGATGTCCGACTCCGAGATGAAATGTGTTCTCCATGCGGACCCGACACAAGGCGCTCAAACAGTGGAATGGCTTGACAAACGTCATCAAAAGTCATGCTACATTTAATGAATGTACAATCAGCTTCCGCATTTCGTCGCCTAGTCACCATCAAGCAATTAATGTGATGTCAACTCATAAGTCATTATGACCCTCCGAGCCAGAGCCTTCAAATCTCCTCGGACACGCCATCACTCCAACAACCCCATCACTGTGCAAAGGCGACTTGGCCAGTAAACTCCTAGCACGTGTAAAGCAGAGTCTAAACCAATACTACACACACTTGACTGAAATTACTTATAGCCCCCCATAAACACACTATAAATAATGGTGATTTCCACCAAATCAAAGTACGCAAAATTTATACATAAAAATTAACAAGATTATACACTATTTTTCTCCTCATTAACTAGAAACAGACACTAACTTGAGTGTCGGAGGGAATGTCGGAGGAAACAACCTCAGGTGCCTCTAACCTCTATTATTTGTGTAGCGAAGTACAAAACAAGACCCTCAACTAAAGATTGATCATCAAAGGTGAGTAATGGACCCCAAAATCAAGGTTAGCACCCCTAAATAGCATATCAACTTCGCGACGTACACAGCTTGGTGCCCACCATGGGGCCTCATCTTCATTTTTTGAGGGATGGTTGATCTTCAATTCCAAATCATGGAAGAGCAGATCAAGGAAACTATTTTCCCACTGCCAGCAACAAGCGTTGGTGGACGAATAATAGGTACAAAGAGACAACGCGAGCCTTCTTCTCTAACTTGGTAGGAACTTGCAGACCGATCTATGAAGCTTCTGCGGGAGAGACCCCATAGCAGACAGAGTGGGGAGGTCGCCCCATTAGAAGTTATCACGCCTAATAACCAACAACTAGCACTACAATAGCCAATCCCTCATTGTAGAAAGCTCGTCAACAATAAAAAAGAACGTTGTCCAATGAAATGCAGGACAATGCCAAGGGGGTTAGTCACCTAGAACTTTTTAAGTAGAACTGGAATAATTGGTAAAGTGAGATAATTTTTTGACACTGTGATAATTTAGTGGAACAATGATGGGTAATTTTTAAAGTGGGATAATCTGGTAGGATAATTTGGTGGGATAATGATGGATAATATTATGAAGTTGCATAATTTGGTAGGATAATTTGGTGGGGATAATGGTGGGTATAAATTACTATTGTTAATAATTGTATATTAAAAATAATATAATATTGATAAGCAAATTCTAGTAATAACTATAAAATATAATGCAATGAAGCATTAATATTCATCTTAAATAATAAAATAATTTACAAATAAATAAAAATCTAAATCCCTAGAGTGACTCGACTTCCATCATCCCACATGGCTTCTATCATTCCACATGGCATCTGCCATAGAATTTCTCTAAGATCCTACAGCTGCTCGTTGAGTCTGTAATTCGTCTTCTTTATCGGAGTCATCGTCTGCATCAGCAACATTTCGTGGAGTTTCTAGTGGAGGATCATAAATGTCGAAGTTCAAATCTCATAACATCATAAAGAAAGAAAAATAAGTATTTTTTAGCCATTAACCCTTTGGACCAATCTCATCATGATCGCTGAAACCAAATCAGCAAATAAATAAAATGTACACAGGAATCATCCATGACCGCTAAACAGATGATCGACAGATGAACTATAAATATCCCAATCAATTTACTAGGCCGATTTAATAATAATAGATATCACCATTAACCATTCAACATCTAATCATCAATGTGATCACAAAGTTGCTTTCTAACTTATAAAAAAACATAAATAGCCCGCATATCTTTAGCACTAACCTACCAACACTATATTCTTAACCTAAACCACTGTTGTGGAGATAAAACTTAGATCAAACAAATAATAATAAAGTAATTTAACGTTAAAAAGCTATCAATAAAGTAATACATCTTGCAGATAATAATAAAAGATCTAATCATCACAAAAACAAAGTAAAGATAAAAAAATAAACGGATGATTGACTTCATGGCAGGGAAATTTTCTAGGCGGAGAAACTAACCAAGAGGGAGGGAGGCGGCGTTTTATTTTTTTTCCCAATTGTATTCTTTCCAATGTGTGGGATAATTTGACAGAGGATAACTTATGGTTATATATATAGGTAGTATAGTTTGTAGGGTAATTATGACCAATTATCCCAATTCTAATTCTAGTAGAATTTTACTTGACTAACGCGCCAAAAAAATAATACAGTTCTAGTTCTACTTGACTAACACTATAAAAAATATCCTATTTCCTAGTTCTATGTGACTAACACCTTAAAAATTTATCCCACAAATTATCACAGTTCTAGTTTTAAGTTCTAAATGACTAACCCCCCCCAAGAGAAAAGTCTTAGCGGTTTTAAAAATTGTAAAGAATTTGATAAGTACAACACATTGTAAATATAAAACCACTAGAGAATACCTTGATTTTTTGACTAATTAGTTTGCAAACCCTTCATGCTCCTACCGCTAGATCTTTATCGACTCGACAACCAAGACCAAAGTCCTCGGTATCGGTTTTCAGAATAGACCCAAGGCACGACAAGGAGCCCTCATGGCTCGATCTTCACCGATTCGTCAGCCATTCACAAACCCTTGGAATCAATTTTCAAAATAGGACCCAATGCATGAACAGAAGATGTGGTCACTAGGCACTAGCCAAAAGCCTCCAACAAACCTTAGGTACACAATACCAAGGAACCACTCGGTCTTCACTGGTGTACCCAGAACACAACAAGACTCGCGACTCGATCCCCACCAACTTGTTCAAGATATCTCAAAAGCACATATGAGAGATTACTCATAAACTAAGTGCGAAAAAGAGAGTCACCAAAATAAAGACTTTTCATTCATTTAAAAAAAAAAATATTGCAAGACTTTCTTATAAAGACTCAATACAAAAATTACATCCTCCTCAAGGAGTAGTGTCTAAAGAATAAATCGTCATGGCCTTCACCAGCATCTTTGCCCGCAACCTCCTCCTCACCCCCTCCATCGGCAACTTCTTCATCCTCCTACACTATCCCCAACCCACCTTGCACCTCGAGTGTCCTGAGGACATCAAGGTAGTTAGCCGCTCGAGAGGGATACTTGAAGCAGTCTTCTTTCAGCAAAAACTTTGGAGGAAGCTGACCCTTCAGATAATCAAACCTCACCTTACATGCAAGGGCCACTTTAACCTCAAAAGGCTTTTGACTCTAGATGGACTATCCGGTCTCAAGCTCTTAGCCTTGGACGTGGAGAGAGTTACATTGTAACTCGGCCTAGGTATTCATGTGGGCAACTTCCTAGCAAAGAGTCCCTTGAAGAGCTATCTCTTGATCCAATTTGGCCCGTAGATCTTTCGTTTCAGTTCAAGCAACACGAGCCCTTTAGAAGGAAGTCCTATATCCTGATGAGCGTGGTTGAGATCCTCATTGAGGCTCTTTACCTTCTCCAAGGCCTGCGCTAATTGAGCCTTGTGATGCCGAGCACCGACCGCAACTACTTTCAGCTCCTCATCCTTATGGGCTAACTCTCGTTCCATCACGGCATGACCCCTCTTTGAACTCATCGATCTCGCTGCCTTTAGTAGCAGCCGCTAGTTTGACCACCTTGCGAGCTTCCTTATGTGCCTCCATCTCGGCCCAAAGCTCAAAAAGGAGTTCCCAATAAATTTCAAGTCATTGCAACGATTCAAACTCCAAGAGAGCCCTTCGGATGAAATAGCTCCGAAGAGCGTAATGAAGATCGGCATCATGGGCTTCACACAATAAAGCCTTATCAGTCGGAAAAAGGTACTGCTCCATAGCCTTGTCCTGGTTGACTCAGAACTCCAAGACTGACCCCCTAACATTCATTTGATGCTTTGGGATGAAAGGATGCTCTTCTGACTCCCCTCATAGCGAGGACGAGATTTAGGACTCATCTAAATGACATGCATCCCCTCCTTAATGTGGGCGGTGGTCACTGATACGATGGGGAAATGACCACTAGTATCGACCCTCATGCATAGTAGCCGAGAGACCCTTGGACCCCAAAGCAGTCTGTTTTTAAGCCATCGAAACTGGATCCTCGATAGCAAGGGTCTTACTGGGTCTTCTGGATGACCCAAGCCCCTCTCCCAGTTTGCTTGGTGCCTCCTCTCGAGTCAGCGCCTCTTTTTGGGTAGAGCCTCACTTCCTATCGGCTCAATAACAGGAATGTCTCCCTCTCCAGCTTCCTCCTCAGGAACCGAGTGAGGAGAATCACCCTCTATCTCGATAAACTCAAGCAGAATATGGGAAAATTCTAGGGCAACTCCACTAGTTGACTTGAGCCAGGTGCAACTTCCATCTCCCCGAGTGTAGCCTCAACTGCCTCGTCTCCAAGAGCAAAGAGCTCCCGTGCACTGCTCTTAGCCCGACGACACCCCTTGGAAGCAGTCTTTTTCTTCCTCCTTTCGGACCGCTCAACCTGAGCAAAAAAATTGCCCAAACCGAGTTTGACAGCTATATCAGTAATCACTATTATAAATAGCGGTAAATAGCCCCACAATAACGACATTAATAGCGTTAATGGTCCATTCCCGCTACGCTATCGCCTAATAACAGTGACATATTGCAGGATATGAGCTTTTCGTTCGCAAAAACGGCCAATAGTGTGTCATAACAGTAAATAGTGGGTGATTACATGTGAAATTCGCTTTTTAACTGCTATTTAAAATCGGTTTGAGGTTTATTTTTTTAATTAAACCCGACCCTTGACTATTACATTCCACCATCTCCTGTGATTTTCAACATACTCACGCCACCGCTCATATTCTCTAGCACCTAACTCAGTACTTTCTCTCACCTTCTTCACCGTGAGCTCATCTTAGGGCAGTCCTCTCACCGCTCAGCTTTTCTTCTCGAAGACGACGACTCTTTGACTCCTCCAGTCATTTTCGATAGTATGTGATAATTACATGTCTATTTCATGTTTAGGATCTATTTAAATAATTAAATATGTACTTTTAGATTTTTAAATTTTTTCTTTATTTTTTTAGTATTTATACATATCTAAATTAGATCGCTATTTGACTTTTTATTTTTTCGCTATTTTGCTGCAATAGCCCTAAATAGTCTTAGCGATGCCTCACCACTGTCAATAACCTTGTCATCAGCAGGCTGCTACTGCAAGGCTTGGAGATACTCTGCCTCCAGATCAGCGCAGAGTCGCTTCCAAGGCATAGAAGGTGAGCTAAGATGAGAGCCCTCTTCCTTTACTCGTTAATAGATATCATTGCTGCATGAGCAAAGTCCGGTTCAAAAGCGGGAACGAAAAATATGCCGACAGCACTAAGGATGACGTTGTCGATCTGGCTCTTCCAACGTTGCAACCCCTTGTAGGCCCAAATCCTCTCTAAGCCTTGCAATTCTTTAGCCGAAAGCATCTTTGGTCGTAGGCCCTCCTTAATCTCCGGCCATGTGGGACAAGCAAGGAGCGGACCAACTCTCATAACAAAGAAAAATTTCTCCTGTCATCCTTTGTTTGTCTAAGGAGCATTAGACATAAGACGGTAGTCACACACTACTTGCAGATAAAAGTGGCTCTCCTTGTTGGCATTGACACAAACTAAATGACCCAACATGCTCAATGTCAGTCTGACGTCTACTCAATAGCAGATGACGAGGAAGCCCATCAAAAAAGCAATAGAGTTCAATGCCAATTATGTCTGGTGCAACCCTAAAGCTTGAAGACCTTCTGAAGGAATATATGTAATGGCAAGTGGAGGCCGTAGTCGAGATGGTGCCAGTACAACGGCGCCATACCTCCACCGTGATGATAAATAGACTGATCTCTCGATGAAGTCAATAGTTTGTAAGCGTTGGGGATGTCATAATGGAGGACATATTGCTCCAAATAATCAGTAAGCATCTTCGAGTGGTATAGACGCAACTGCGAACCATAGCAGTTTTAGCATTGGGAGCCATCAAAAGCAGGAGAAGAGGTGATCAGAGTACGGCAAAAATTCTGAAGAAGGTGCGCTCCCAATGACGGAATACAAGCTCCAGGGTTTCTAGGATTTTTGGCGAAGTAAGAAGAAGAATAACAATATATATAAGCAAAGGGGGGGGGGGCATGTGGCAAGAAACTATTGGTTAGCATGGTGTATGGGAAACCGCTAACGGTTTTTGGAAATGGAAGCGACATCCCTTCAAACAAGGTCACTCCGTCAAAACTGCTACATGATCTCCACTAACGTCAGAAATGTCAACCACAACTGTCTTCTAACAAGGACGGACCAAGTTCCAAATTGGGTGGCGCCTCATTTTCTCTCAAACTCGGCATCCCGAGTCCGGGAGAAAGGGGGCCAGTGTTATACCTTGGAAATTACTAAGACCAATAAGAACAGCCACATGATAACTAATTGGTTGACTCCCACAACACTTACAAGTAACCTAGTGATAAGCCCATCGGCTCGCCTCGCTATCCAGATCCGAGACGAAAGGCGCTTCCATCCTAACTCCAAGAAGAAAGGCATTCCCCACTCAAACATGACACACGGGGGCTTGAACAGTGGAACGACCTGACAAGTATTATCAAAAGTCACACTGCATTTAAGGAATGTCCAATCAACACCCGCATTTCGCCGCCTAGTCACCATCAAGCAATTAATGCGGCACCAGTCATTATGACCTTTCGTGGCAGAGCCTTCAAAGCTCCTTGGATATGCCATTACGCTAACAGCCCCATCACTGTGCAAAGACGACTCAGCTAATCAGCTGCTGACACGTGTAAAATAAACAGTATTGTTAGTGTTTTGAACGAGTCAAAACGCTGAAAACAGCGTTCTGGGCCTTAACTCTGCGTCTTATTGATGAGACGCAGAGTTAGGCACTTGCTGGGAGTTGAAAACGCAAGGTTCTCTTGCGTTTGGACCTAAACTCTGCGTCTTAAAGATGAGACGCAGAGTTAGGCGTTCGCTAGGAGTCGAAACGCACAGGCCACATTGGGGCTTAACTCTGCGTCCAAGACTTAGGACGCAGAGTTAAATATCTATTGGAGATTTGAAACGCACAGGCCGCATTGGGGCTTAACTCTGCGTCCAAGACTTAGAACGCAGAGTTAAATCTCTATTGGAGATTTGAAACGCACAGGCCGCATGCGTTCTGAAATTGGAAACGCACCTATCCAGATCCGAGACGAAAGGCGCTTCCATCCTAACTCCAAGAAGAAAGGCATTCCCCACTCAAACATGACACACGGGGGCTTGAACAGTGGAACGACCTGACAAGTATTATCAAAAGTCACACTGCATTTAAGGAATGTCCAATCAACACCCGCATTTCGCCGCCTAGTCACCATCAAGCAATTAATGCGGCACCAGTCATTATGACCTTTCGTGGCAGAGCCTTCAAAGCTCCTTGGATATGCCATTACGCTAACAGCCCCATCACTGTGCAAAGACGACTCAGCTAATCAGCTGCTGACACGTGTAAAATAGATTCTGAACCAATACTGCACACACTCGGCTGAAATTACCTACATGCCCCTATAAACACTATAACCAACGTACGCAAAATTTACACATAAAAAATCAACAAGATTATGCTCTGTTTTTCTCCACAGATTAACTAGAAACAATTACTGACTTGAGCGTTGGAGGGCACACCAGAGGAAACAACCTCTGGTGTCTCTAACCTCTGTTATTTGTGTAGCGAAGTATAGATTAAGATCCTCAACTGAAGAATAATCATCAAATGTGATTAATAGACCACAAAATCAAGGTTAACACCCTAAATCACGTATCAAACTTCGCAACGTAAACAAAGATTTTTCTAATATGTTGCAGGTAGTTTAGATAGGAATGTATTACCTTAGCTGTGAGATACATATCGTCATTTTGAAATTCTACTTCCTGCACACATACAAAAGAAAAATTAACTTAGGATGATAAACAACTGCAGAAAACTTTACAAGGATATTTTTTGACAAAGGCGTTACCTTTCTGCATGTGTTTAATTTCCACAAGTAAGAGCTCATGCTGATAGGAAAAAGACAAGCAATATCAGCTTAGAACCACATGTAGACTTAAGGGTAAATAAGCCATAATATCAAAAAAGTAACTGTTGATTAATTAGCTAAGTTTATTGCACATATTTCATAGAGAATCACCCAGAAAATCCAAGAAAGTTAATAATATTTGACCAAGTTGCACTGTATCTGCAGTATCATTCTAGTACTTTATGATTACCTATAGGAGGCTGACCTCTTAGTTTTCTGTAAAATCTGTATCTGATGACAAAATCTTGCGGCTTCTTGCCGATATATTGCTGCAGCCAAAAAAACAATTGAGTTATATACACATAAAAAATGGTATATACATTTCAAGTAAAATTAGGAAGCAGCGTTTATATAGGAACTTAGCCAGAGTAGGCCGATATGAATGTACCTGTATGTCCAGAATTATAGTTGTAGTGGAACAGAAGATAACAAGCTTTGCAGTTATAGATCTGGAACTTTACTGGCTAACCATAAGATAGTTATTCATGATGAATAACCTTTAGCTATGACATCTTTAAAATTTACATGTGTTCAGCATTATAGTTATAACAGAAGTTAATAAGCTTTAAATTTCTGCAGCTGGAGATCTGAACTTTAATGGCTAAAAGAATAAGATGGTTCTTCATAAGGAGTAACCTTTATATAATACCAAGCGAGTGTTGGAGTTGCTACTACACTAGGATATTTACAGTAGTCATCTACAGAGTTCTGTGCACAAAATGAATGCGCTAAACACCAATTACTAGCAACATCTGACGAACTACCCTTCTTGTGCAATATCTGATTGTTATTACTTCATTAAAAAAAGTCAAATCTGTTTATGGGCTAGGTTGTTGAGCTCAACTCATGAGGAATCCACTTGCGAAGTTTAAACTGTAGCTGGAAAAGGGATATCTTGTCAAAATACGTTCCAACTTGACAAATGTTCTGTAACTATTTTAACCAAGAGAGACTAGTATACTGTCTTATCCCTGCATTGCGCTAATATAATTGCTTTTTCGGCGTAATATGTAAACGGATACATTTGTTCTTATATATCATCACCAGTAACTTTATATCATAATAGTACTTGAACTTTGTATAATTTAATGTTGTTTCCAATTTTTACTTAAGCATGGTGGAAGATATTCAAAGTAACCTGCTATGAGGACAATGTAAATAATTATGGCATGATCGGCGAGTCTTCTACAGTTTCTGTAAACTTTGTGCTATCTGACATTAAGTTTTTACATATTAAGAACCAACATTATTTCTATCTTCCTGACATTATCAATTAGCTGTGAACTCCTCTAATTAAGAGACAGCCCAAACTTAAATCTTATCATTGTGGGAACAAGCATACACTCAATGCTGGTTATACTCAGCTATCATGCACATGTCATCTGCATGTATATATATCCTTTACTTAGTTACTGAAAAATCTTTAGCTTAGTATATAATAATGTTAAATTTACATCTAGTACTTTGCAGTCATATACCTCCAACCACATTTGGAGAACTTTTGTACAGAAAAAAGTATACAATTTTGTGCGTAACGCTTTTTAAATAAATAAAAATGGTGAAATCCTACCCTCTCCTCGATAGGGGGAAAATTTCCTGCATGTGCTTTCATCATCTATCACTATTTATGTAATCTACACCTATCTTTGCTATAGTTTAAGCATTTTTCTTACATAACCATACTAACTTTCTGATAATGGTTGCTTATTTAGAAGAAAATATTCAATAGATACGTGACCAGGCTTTCTGTTAGTTGAGACTTGAGGGTCAACACTGGAAACTTCTTTATTTTTCCTTTTCTTCAACCCCTCCCCCNTTTCCCCCCCCCCCCCCCCCCCCCCCCTTCTTTTTTTTCTTTTTTCCTACGGAACTTCAAACTTCAATATAGACATATTAATACATTTTTCCATTAAGAATTGAGCTGTTTTTGCATATTATTTCATTTTTGATGAGATTTTCTACTGTAAATTAAGTGAAGGAACACTGGGAAATGGGAATACTCTGAATTAGCCTATAATTACGATGTCCTGAAATTGATTCTCCATCTTAAAATGATCCACTATTTATTCATGAAACCCAAAAAAATCACATCATGGTAAATAAATAAGTACTATACTTATGATTTTTTAACATTATTGTAAAAGTGATAATGCTTAAGTATTTTCATTACCTACATTTATTAACGTGCACATGTATGCACACACAAAATCTGTTGCCAGTAAACTCTTCTATATACTAATCAAAGTTGTTGTTGTTGTTGTTGTTGTTGTTGTTGTTGTTTGTGACAAAGAAAAGGACGTCTAATTTAAAAAAAAAAAAGAGCGTATGATAACTGACATTAGCTGCAGTCATCATCATCAAATCATCCCATGGTTTGCTTGCTTTTATAAGGATGGTTGCAACTGTGACCCAAATATCAGCATTACATAATAAATACATCTTAAAATCTAGGAAAGAACCATATAAAGAGGCTTATGTCAGGCTCATGCATCTTGAGTGGCTTTCAATAAAAACTAAAGATGCTTAACTCGTATGCCACTTGATGACCATTTCTCTTTAAAAGAAGTCATGAATTCCAAAGGAGAAATACAAAGAAAAATATGCTTATCAAGGCTAGATGTCTGATTTTTCAATACAGACATTTGGCTAAAGCATGTTGTTTACTAAGATTAACTGAAAGCGTTTATTGAACATAAGAGACGATCTACTTACCTTAGAATTGACCTCTTTAACTAAATTTGACTGGGAACTGTCAGCACGTGCCTTCTTGTACCTTTCGATGGTTGATTTTATCTGAATGCCAACTACAGGAAGCACTATTTAGAGAAATGTCAACTAGCACAAATACTACTTTAAAGCAAACATAATAATAATAACAATAATAAAATAAAAATAATGAGATGAATTGAGAAATAAATACTAAACGTAAGTTGACATTTCTTGTATTATTTTTTTAGGGGCAGTACTGGGAGAGACTTGCCTTATATTCCAAACAATTGGAAGAAAAAGAAGAGTCCCACTGTCCTGAAACAGACA